TATGTAGAAAAAGAATAAAGTTATAAACCAAAATTAAAATACTAGCTTTTATAAATTGCTCATGGATTTACCTTTATCAGAGATCATTACTTATTCATACAGCTTTGAGTTACTAACATCCTTTCAATCTGAAGGTCTTCCTTAGCACTTTTTAAAAAACAGGCATAGTGGTAACAGACTCTCTCAGCTTTTGTTTATCTGGGAATACCTTAATTTCCACCTTATATTTGAAGGACAGTTTTTCCAGATATAGAATTCTCAGCTGGTTTTATTCTTTCAGAACTTTAAATATATAAATGCACTGCATTCTGACCTCCAAGGTTTCTGATGAGAAATCAGCCAATATTCTCAGTGAAGATAATTTGTATGTGATGAGTTACCTCTCTTTTGATACTTCTAGGATTTTCTTTAAACAGTTTGATTATAATGTCTCCACGTGGGTCTGCTTGAGTATATCCTACTTTGGAGTTTGCTGATCTTTGGGGATTTGTTGACTCATGTCTTTCATCAAAATTTGGGAAGTGTTAAGTCATGTATTTCTTCACATACTCTTTTTGCCTATTTCCTCTCTTTTCCTTCTGCAACTCCTACAACGCATATATTGATCCACTTGAGAGTGTCGTACAAGTCTATAAGGCTCTGTTTACTTTTCTTTATTCCTTTTTCTTTCCCTTTCTTAGACTCAATGACTTCAATTGTACATCTTCAAGTTCACCAATTCGTCTATTTACTCAAATCTTCCTTTGAATCCCTCTAGTGGGCTTTTCATTTCAATTATACTTTTCAACCCCAGAATTTTTTTGTGGTCCTTTTTACAATTACTGTCTCTTTATCAGCATTCTCATTTTATTCTTACATAGATTTTTGTCTTTATCTATGTCTTTCTTTACCTCTTTGAGCTACTTTAAGACAGTTGTTTTAAAGTCTTTGTTTACTAAGGCCAATGTCTGGGCTTCCTCAATTTTCCTCAATAGTTCTTTCAATTTGTTTTGTTCCCTTGAATGGGCTGTACTTTCTTTTTTCTTTGTATGCCTTGTGTTTGTTTGTTGTTGTTGCTGAAATTGAACATTTGAATCTTATAATTTAGTAACTTTGGAAATCAGATTTTCCCTCTTCCCCAGGGTTTGCTGTTTTTGTTTTTTTTTTCTTTTGTTTTACTGTTGAAAGAGTCTCTGTGCCAAGGATCAGCCTAAGGTAAAAGCTTAAGGTCTCCTCAGGTCTTCTCTGAGCCTGTGTCTTTCCCCAGGCATATGCAGTGACTTTCTAAATTCCTTTTTGCTTTTGTTTTTGAATGCCCTACTCCTTAAATGCCTGTCTCCCCAAAGAATTAAAATGGAAAAAGAGAAGAGGGGTGGGGGAAGCCAAACAAGGTGTAGTTCGTGTAAATTTCTGGAAGTCACTTCAGCTAGTGGGAGTTGGAACACTGAACCCTGATATTTGGAACATAAGGTTTTTACTGCTCACCCTGGCTACAGCAAGCCATACGAGGAACATGAACATGGCTGTCTACCACGGGACTGTGGGTTGGGAGACTGGTAGCTGCTACCACACTTAAGGCTGAAATTGACCAAAATTAACTGCAACCAGCCAAGCTTTCCTCTGGAAGCTACAAGCATTCAAATGAAACTCCAGAGTTTCAAAATAGTTAATTCAGACAGTTTATGCCAGTAAACTTGTTGTCTAGGTGGAGAGATGGATTACTGGCACTTCCTACTCCCTCTTCCTGGGGTCATGCTCAACAATCCATTTTTAAATCTTAATTTTTACAATAATTTGAATGTTCACCAAAATTGAACTACATAAGCAAGGAAAATTACAAAAATGACTAATAGATTCATGTGATAATTATAACCAAGGAAACTCACTGTGAAATGTCTTTTTAGACTAATTTAAAGATTATGTGCAATTCTATGATTGTAATGTTTTTATTGTATTGCAAAGTTGATTGATGCTCCTTTAAAAAACAAAATGAAGTAATTTTGAATCATTCTAAATTTTTTATCAGCTAAGAAAGTGGCCTAAATTCACACTGCTGTAAAAATAGCAGGGGTTACAACCCTAGAATGTTTAATTCCAAAGCCCGTGTTTTTTCTACTAATTCCCATACATTTTTATATATCTGAACTGCAGTTTAAACTGGCAGTTACTACGTACAATGAGTTACATAGGATACAGAACCAGACTTTTTGTGTTCAAATTTTGGCTCCATGCCTTACAGCTATGTGATTTTAAAAAAGGTATTCGTTTGACTCCATTTCCTCATCTGTAAACTAGAAATAACAACACTTCTATACAATTGTCTTTCAGTATCCATGGGGCATTGGTTCTAGGACCTCCCTGTGGATACCAAAATCTGGGTATGCTCAAGTCCCTTATATAAAATGGCATAGTATTTGTATATAACCTATGAATATCCTCCTGTATCCTTTAAATCTGCAGTCCCCATCCCTGGGCCACAGCCCAGTACCAGTCCATGGCCTGTTAGGAACCGGGACACACAACTTCTGCCTCCCAACCCCCCACCCATCTCCCCCCTTCCCCCATCCATGGAAAAATTGTCTTCCATGAAACTTAGGAACTGGGCCACAAAGCAGGAGGTGAGTACCAAGCAAGCGAGCGAAGCTTCATCTGTATTTACAGCTGCGCCCCATCTCTTGCGTTACCGCCTGAGCGCCACTGCCCCCTCCCCTGAATATTGCAAAGGTAGGTACTATGCACATATATTATACATATACATCAAGAAATAATGTATACAAATAGTAAATACTGATTATTTGTAATATTTTTACCAAAAGATCAGTAGGTTCTGAGCTATCTGAATTAATATCGAATTCAAAGACCATTTTTCTCTTTTTGTTATTCTCTTCAGTGGGTATATTCTTGTTTTCTCTTTGATGTATTTTCATTTTTGTTGGTGTCTTCACTG